AGGAGCAAAGCCCCCAAAAACTGCGGAGCTCCTTTACATAGCGTGGCACATTGAACGTTTCAACGGCTGCTGTCTTCTGGGGATCTGGACGGATGCCCTACTGATCGACTAGGTGTCCGAGAACAAGGGTTTGTCGGTCTCCGAAGTGGCATTTATTTGAGTTAAGAACAAGGCCAGCGTTTCTTATGCAAGTCAGTACAGTATCCAGACGTGAATTGTGTTCGCTGAAGGTGCGGCCAAAGATGACGACGTCGTCGAGATAGCACATGCAAATGCTCCACTTCAAGCCACGAAGAACAGTGTCCATAAATCGCTCGAACGTCGCCGGCGCGTTGCACAGTCCAAATGGCATCACGTTGAATTCAAAAAGGTCATCAGGGGTTACAAAGGCTGTCTTTTCTTTATATTCAGGATGCATGGGAATTTGCCAGTAGCCCGATCTTGTCTACAGAGGAAAAGTAAGAGGCCGAATGCAGACAGTCTATGGCATCGTCAATACGTGGAAGTGGGTACACGTCTTTTTTTTTTGTTACAGCATTCAATCGGCGATAATCGACGCAAAATCTCCAGGATCCGTCTTTCTTTTTAACGAGAATTACTGGAGCTACCCATGGACTTACCGACTCTTGAATGATACCGTTTTCAATCATTTCGTTCACCTGCTCTATAATAAGCCGCCGCTCGGATGGAGAAACACGGTATGGCTTTTGTCTAATCGGATTGGCCAAACCCGTGTTGATAGTGTGACATGTCCGAGAAGCAGGGATTAGGGGTCAGCCTGCAACGAATTGGTAATCTATTTTACAAACATTTCGCTCCAATTGCTGTGTGTCGTTGTCTAGTAACATTCGTTAATATATCTGAAGTCACTATTAGCCACGATCCAAACATTTGGGCTGTAGAAACATTGCCGATTCAGAGCCAATGTCTCTCACTTTTCGGGTGAATCTTTCGGGGCCATATTGAAAATTGTGTTTTGATTGATTGATTTGTGGGGTTTAACGTCCCAAAACCACCATTTGATTATGAGAGACGCCGTAGTGGAGGGCTCCGGAAATTTTGACCACCTGGGGTTCTTTAACGTGCACCCAAATCTGAGTACACGGGCCTACAACATTTCCGCCTCCATCGGAAATGCAACCGCCGCAGCGAAAATTGTGTTTTGTTCATCCAATGTGTCCCTGCGATGTGACTAAAAAGCTGCAAGAACACACCCATCTTGCCTGCCGTGTTTTTGATGCAGTCGCTAAAAAGTTGCAAGTGCGATAGCTCACACTGATGTGGCTTTACCAGGTCTTCTCTGGCTCTACGCGCGTGCAAGACTTACGGAAACGTAGGTGGCTTGAGTTCATGAGTGCACATAGACAGGTCAAGATTTGCTGCTTTCTATGAGAACGAGGCGCGTTTTACTTTTCAGCGGCGTACCTTCAATTGGGAAAGGAATGAAGGAATTTGTGAAATTTTGCTTGAGCGTCGCAACGAAGTTGGCGTGATGACCTTCGTGGAACACAGTATACCTGTACAAAACGACACGGAAACAGACAGCTTATTTCTATATCAGATCAGCCCAAGTGGAGTGCAAGGTCCGTACTAAGTAAATTTTGGTGATGGATCATATACGAATCTACGCTGTCCTCGACCGGAGCCGTGTGTGCATGCGTGCATGAATCTCATTGTGCATGTGTACAGTATAACAATGTACAATAATGTTCCATATAGCTTTTAAGAGCCGAGCTCTTGAACCCTTTGCTGTATAATATACGAAGAGAAGTGTTTGTTTACGCCAAGAAAAATTGTGCACCTATCGAGGAAAAGTTTCGCACACGTCATCAACCAAATGTAAAGTACGCACAATAAAACTTGGATACATTGGTTTGGAAAAGGATGGTAAGTAGTTTAATTTATTCATAACTTTATTTTAATTTGAAAGACTGCTCCTTATCGTAATATTATTCATAACTACAAGTGCGAAATACGCCTGTAAGCTTATTCACTGTGGTGGAGCAGTAGCATAGGTGCTCGGCTGCTGACCTTGAGGGTTTGATGCCAGTCGCGGCAATCGCATTTCGATCGAAGTGAGAAGATACAGGCACGTGTACTGTTGTGCGAAGCCAGCGTGTGTTAAAAAACGCCAGATGGTCGAAATTTCGGGAGCTCTCCACTGCGGCATCTCTCATAATCTTGGTTTCGGAGGGTAAAACCCCTGAAATTATTATTATGCCAGTAAGCTTCGATATTCGCACGTCTCAGGCAGTCCTATGAGACGACTGATTGTTTCTATAGTGCTACAACAAAGCCGGTAAAGTGAACCTATTGCTCCTTCTTCATCCACTCTATCTTGTCAGTCTCGCGTCCGATCTTGTGAACTGTGCGTGTGGAACTGACTGCAGAGTGCTCAATCACGTTTTAATTGTGACCGTTGCTAGTCTTAGCAATCTCTCTCACTTTCAAGGGAAAACCTGTGAGGTAACACCAAAAAGCAGGACACAGATACACAAAGCATTAACACTAGACACGCTGTCAAGTGCCCTCGTATCGCCGTTTCACCTTCGCTTTGTCAACTTGACCAGGGAATTTCTCGGTACATCACGGCACTATATATAGTTTTGCTCGGCTGCACAAGGTATTCCCCATGAAACGTGTGTACACCGCTAACATTAGAATATATTTAGGTGGTGTTTTAGTCGCGCGGCTGCTTTCACTAATGTGCTCATGCGTATCGCGTACCTGTTTGTGAGTGTGTGTTTCTCTGTGGGATGAAGGGGGGGGGGGGGTGGTTCTGTCTGCACGTGCGAGTAAGTCGGTAAGTGACGTTGTAGGAGTAAGTGCGTCTGCCTATATGAAATACTCTATGCAATCCTGACAAATGTCGTTTCCAATCCTTCCTCCCAAACACAACATTTATGCGCCATATTTTTCTTTAGCTCTTCGCTCATGGCACATACCATTTGTCTGGCCACAATTTTTGCTGAAACATTAATTTCTTGATTTTCGTTATGTGTTGCTGCTGCTTTAATTTTTGCGTTTCCGCTTCTTTAGTTTCGTTTTATTTATTTACCGCTTCACAAAGCAGAGGGTATGGGAAGAAAAAGTTCAGCAAAGCTTGACTAGGCTTCCAATACTGTTACTGTCCAGCGTCACGCAGTGGCAATACACACATTTTGTGCAAAGAAGGAGAACATACATTGTATACGCTTACTACATGCACGTGGTACTGCAATGTTCCAGAATCACGAAGTGTTCTTACCTGCATCAAGATATCCTGTATCGAAACCGCCGAAAAAGAAGAGCTCGAACGCTGAATGGTGGCTGCCCCGATTTAAGTACTCCGTGCGAACTCTGAGAGTTTTAATTACGCACACCGCTACAGATAACACAACCGTACCAGACAGAGTTTGCAGTCGCACGTATACTTGTGAGATGTGGCGTGACTTTGATGCGTTACTTGTACGACTAGTCCGGTTGGCTATGCAGCGTTTTGTACGGGAGGGGAAGGCACAAGCGGCCTGGCTTGTCGTGGCTCTTGGGGCATCTTGCACTAAATGAGCGCGCATATGGCGGAACACGAGAATATAAGTACGCAGTACGAGCACTGCCTAACAACTGTCTAACAACTCTCGCACTGTACATGTCCTATTTTTATGTTCCGTCCTGCATGCGCTGATATTGTACAAGGTGCATCAAATCCATCTCACGCACTGCCTGACCTTAGTGCGATTTGGCTCTTGGGGGTGAGAAAAGCACCCATACAAACACATAGTGTGACATCCGGGAACTCCAGCGCATCATCGCAAAGGGCTGAGCTGTGACCGGAGCACTCCAAGAAGAAGGTGAGGGGAAAAAAGCAACTATTGGGAAAAGGGTACCGTTGCATCACACCTACCTCCACTCATTACCTGCATGGTGATTCGTTTAAGCTATGATGCTAAAGTTTGACTCTATAGTTATTACCTCACCATTTATACATCATCGAAACACTGTTCCATGAATCGGTTCGCAGGGGCCTCTTTAGCATCTGACCGTGCTTTCACTTGGTGACCATAGCTGCTTGGAAGGCTAGTCACACTAGCAGCTTGTAAGACATTGACAGGTGATGCTTCGTCGTGTTCACCATTTTGTTCAAGTAATCTTTTAAATACTACCCTCCAAATATTGTGATTCGAGCGCAATGAGGGCAATGTTTCGCAGTCGTACAATAGGCCGCACGCTTTAATATCGTACCTTTATTTCCTTTCTTTATTTACACATCGTTGCTTTCGCACTTTGTCTTTTGCAATGGATGCTTTGGCAGTACTTATTGTATGCCCACTCCTGTATGAGCCTTTGAATTACAGTATTAATAAATGAATAAAGTAAATAGCCCACAAAAGAGAGATATATGATGCCTAAAGGTGCCCTATCAATGAATAAGCCTTTCGAGACTTCTTCACCCGTTTATTTTATACGAAAACTTACGGACCACAACATATCAGTAGAAAGAGCTTTTGTTATGTTTGCAATTTCTGACCATCAATCCTCACCAACTTGATGATTCCTTAATTGTTTTTATTGCAAGCAAATAATCAATAATATTTAGGGCGTTGTATTCCAAATTTTCAGATACACTGCACACAAAAGAATAATGCGGGGAAACTGAAAAAAAGCAAACATCGTGTATGAGACAGACAAGCAGAAGTCACAAGCATGCAAATAAGGCCACTACTGTGGCTTTGGCTTTAGAATATCATGGCGCTATGTTTGAAATGGGGCCTATGAGCAGTTGGAGGTATAGTGTTCAGGAAAAAAATGTTCCAGGCTATAGCAGTTTCCTATGGGATGATTTTATTTCGCACCGCAGTTCAAGGAATACACTTGTGCACATAGTAAGTGTTATCTTATAACTCTCATGATATTTTTTATTTAGTAACTTGTACGTTTCCTCCTCCTAGCTGACAGGATTCTCAGTTCCCTACCATACTTTTTTTGAGGCCATCACTACGTCGGTTGCGGCAAGTTACGTCTACTAGTATTACAAGTCATGTTTTGTTACGGTGATTACCGAGAGCCATTATTAGGACAGAGCGAAGCTCATGCGCGCGCTGGCTTGGTTGAGAAGTACGTGGTAGTTGCCGTAGATGTTCATGTACAATTCCTCCCTGAGAAAGTTGGCGATGTGCATCTTGAAGTTGTTCATTCGGACTTCGTTCAGGTCCAGGTTGGATCCGGGCCTGACGTCGAAGTTGACGCCCTCCACGAACAGAGTGCGCACGAAGCCCGGTCTGTTCGGAGCCGCCGTGATCTCGAGTCGACCGGTCGTGTTGTAGACGACGGCCTCCACGTCCACGGATTTCACTATGTTCAGAAGGTTGTCTCCCTTGGTCTGCGAAGGAGTAAGGTTAGCATTGTTGCACCACAATTCATATGTAACAATAAAAAATTTGCCCAAATGGCTTTGCACTCCGTGGCAAAAAATGTTCTGCAGTTGACGAATATAATTGAACAAACCTCTAGTCATGTGAAGCAGTGCATGAAAACTCTGTCGAACGAAGCTACAATTCAGAATATATATGTTATAAAAATTTAAAAAAATGGCCCCGTATCTGCATGTTTCACTGCAAAAGTCGTCGAAAGACGATAGTCTTGCGTCGGGAGAGAGTGAATGAAATGTTTATTTGATGTTCTGAGCGAGAAAATTGGTGAATTGTATTCTGGAAGCGCGGTGTTAGATAGTCTCCATTCGTGCAGTGAAGGCGAATGAGCGCCTCGAGACACGTTAGACACGAGCGCCATCAGGCAGTTATCTTCAAAAACGAAGGAAGGCGTGCGTGCCCACGGAGAAAGATGCGCGCCTGTCTTGGAGGCGATAGGGTGTAGAACGCAAAGCGACGAGCAGGTGCCTCTACCGCGTCGTCCTGCCTTCTAAATGCAAAGCATTTCTTAGCAAACTTCGGCGACTTTGAGCGTATCTATCTATCTATCTATCTATCTATCTATCTATCTATCTATCTATCTATCTATCTATCTATCTATCTATCTATCTATCTATCTATCTATCTATCTATCTATCTATCTATCTATCTATCTATCTATCTATCTATCTATCTATCTATCTATCTATCTATCTATCTATCTATCTATCTATCTATCTAGCCGCTTACGTTTGGGTGATCTCGTGGTCACCCCCTTAACTTTGTGTGAACCAAAATTAGCATGGGACGGTAAGATAGTTTGACGAATATGATGCGCTGGTCGAGGCATGAATAATGTCAAAATCCCGTCGCGTACATCGTGAAACACTTCCCGCCAGACAGTGGCACATACCCACGGGCGGGTATGTGCCACTGGTTTGCGGGTATGTGCCACAAGTGATTGACACTTAGTATTCACTCAGTAACGACGAGAAGACACATGAGAAATATTAACGTGCGAGCGTTAAGAAATACCCGACATCGGTAGCGTCGACCTGACGACTGCAAACAATAAATATCAGCGTCCCAGCTGGAATCAAACCGAATAATTCTGCGTGGCAATGAAGCATTTCACCACAGAGCTACGCCAGGTCTCAAAACTATTTTTCAAATACACGCTAATCTTCATGAAACATGAATAGTGGTTGCAGTGCGGCCTACCAAATTTTTTAAACATTACATAAGTACTCTCTTGATACAGCCGTCACGTCGGCGTAACGTCAATTGTGGTTAGTTGTCATGCGCCGAAGTTGATTTATGTAGCAGTGTCCAGGGCCAACATCCTCGCGAGCATCAGCGCTTCATATCACCTTCTGGTATTGCTAATACGCATGTTCCAGTTAGCATCGTTCCGTAATTGCAAACAACTGATTGTATAAATATCTGCAACTCTTCTACATATTTCTATGCGTGCAACATTCGTACATATAGTAAGCGTCATTTCATGACGTGTTGCTCAATAAAAAAATTGAAACACGGTCACCTCCCCTCCGCATGCTTCGCATAACGTCGATTCCCAGGTACGTGGTATCGGCCGAATTTTTTTTTTAGCCTCACGTTGCATTGTCAGAGCAGCGTGATAAACGCGGCGGTCCTTAAAATTACTTATGTGTGCCTTTTCTAGAATAAAGAGACACATACAAAATATTGACGTGTTGTTATGGTGCTTGAGATAATCGCAATAATTGAGATTTAATTGACAATCACCCAAATATGAACGCTGAAACTTGAGCAATATTGGTGGGCGCCGCGGATGGGGTTGGCCGTTTGGGGAATCGTTTGTTCCCATTTGGAGTATCGTTACGCTAGACAAACAAAGAAATGTACAGACAGACAGACCAAAATTTTTGCCTCGGAGGTCTCCAAGGATGACTATCGTCTTTAAAAAAGAGTAAATCTATACTACGTTAGTTGATATTGATTATACGTTCTTTTGGCAAGCTCATGTTCTCTAAGGTTCTTATTAAAGGGTCGGTAAAGAATCCCAAGGTTCAAAATTTGCTTTAGAAAGAACTATGACCGATTTTGCTTTTTAACAAGCTGCCGAGAGAAATTAGCAAATACGTGCTATATTAAGGACGTCACAAGGGTTACAACATCTGCTTCAGCTGGCTTGAAATTTTTCGCGTAGTCTCGTCACCCTTCTCTCTCACAGGGAAGGGAATTCCTAGCCCATCGTCGTGACTGCTTTAGACCAATAGACGAGCTGCGTGCTACGTCAAGTCACTGATTCGCGACTTCATCACTGCGTGTAAAAGGAGCATTTGTCAGTAGGAAAAGAGTGGGGGAATCGTTTTTTGAAATGGGGGATGTGCGCGGCGCGCAGCTCTGTAATATTCAGCAGAAAACTTGATCACGGTGGTTTACTCTACGAACTGTCGACCTGCTTTGGTGAGTGTCGAAAAAAATTGGAACCTGTTGACCAGTCCTTTGAATCTGCTAGCCTTACTTGGCATAGCATTCACAATTGCGGCTCTTGCGTTTGTTAATACGTCCATGCGGTGACATTGCGACATTTTTGTTCCCAGAACGGCTGCTCTATTGGACCCGGACTTAATTAAGGAACACTGACACGCGGACTGAAACGCTTCAGTGGTTCTGTCTGTGTGAGTGCCTTCTTTAGTCCGTGTCCACTAGCGCTGCCCTTCAGAGTTTAAATTTACGACTCACTCAAGAAACAGCTCTCTTATCAAATGTTTGTTTTCTTAAATTAACTCCTTCAGAGCACGAACCAAGAGCAACTGTATAGACATTTTATTGGATTCAAGATCACCTAAGGCAAGAAATTTATCAACAAAAAGGCTGTCGATCATTTTTCTTATCAGATTTACCACGTAGTGAGCGAGTTATTTGACACTTCCAGCAGACTACCTTTACTTCTCGCGACATTCAGTGTTCTTGTGAATTTATTATCTCAGCTGAAGAATAAAAAAGGCAGGCCGCGCTAATTCTGATAATCTCCAAACCGAAGTTTAGGTTTTGATGCGAATTTGCCATACACAGTTTTTTCTACCTAACTTTTCATGTCGCATCCTTCAAACAATGACAGTTACAACACTTCACAGTTACATTCATTGTAAGAGTTCGACACTAAAGCCTCTGAATTCTTTTCAAATGGCACCGTCAAGCCATGATCAAAAACAGCAAAAGGAGTATGCGTCAAGTGGATGTTGCACCAGTCTAATGCGTGCAAATTCGGCATTGTCATCTGCACAGTGGTTCGAGCCGCTACCGAAGGAACATATGAGAGTCTAATTGGACTTAGAATGCAACCAGAGACCTTCAGAAACAATTTCACGTTTATGAGTTCTTCCTCACACAGGTAATTATTTAAGTATTTTTTTTCACTTTTGCATTAGTATTGGCTGTGAATTTTTTTTATCTCATTTTTCATATGCCCCACTAATGCTAATCCCCTACGTATATACGTATCTGTACTGCAAACAGTGGGAATCTAGGAGGGAACTGGAGAGGCTCTTTTCCTTTAAGGTAAAAGAACAGAAAAGAACTCAAGTGTTTTATAGAAACTATACTGTCAGTCTCTCCCTCACCTTTTTTTTTCTTTCTCTCTCTTCCCTCTTTCTCGTCTTTCTTGTCCCCTTCCCTAACTCCCCAGTGTAGGGTAACCAATCGGATCTCTTTCTGGTTAACCTCCCTGCCATCTCCCTTTTGTTGCTTCCTTCCTTCCTTCCTTTCATATGCCCCAGTTTTTTTTTTATTCTGGATGCTGCCATCTCTTGTAATACAGTCATTCATACTTGAAGTAAATACGATCATTGGTAGCATAGCAGTGAACGCGATTTGAGAGAATTTTGACTTAATTACAATTTATAGGCTTTATTTACATCGACAGCCAACAGAATAAAGCAGCGGTTGCACCACACGAGTAAACACGATATTTCTGATGTAAACTAGTGCATTTCCACCCTCCCCTTTTCTCTTGACACTTCAAATACAAACACATTGAGAGGCGAGGTTCATATCATACCACGGCGACAAGTTCGGCGAGGATCCCGTCGAAGCTGAGTGTGCAAGTGACACTTGTGTTTCCAGCCACAACAGCCGGGATGCAGTCGCCGACTCGATGAATGGCCGTGTCGAAGTTCTTTATCCCGCCTCGTGTCACGTTCACCTTCAAATCACGGTTGGTGATGGACGTCTTGTACACCTGAAAACATGGCGATGGGTATTTGATTCAACAACACTGGCTTGTATATTAAATCTTTGTAGATCGAAGGAGGAAAACAATTGGGTTTTGCTAGTTGTAGCCCTATTTAGTTCAGGACACCAGGTGTTTTTGCCATAACTAGACGTGCAGCCTTTTCGAATCACCCCACAGCGGTGGTCTAGTGGCTAAGGTACTCGGCTGCTGACCCGCAGGTCACGGGATCGAATCCCAGCTGCGGCGGCTGCATTTCCGATGGAGGCGGAAATGTTGTAGGCCCGTGTGCTCAGATTTGGGTGCACGTTAAAGAACCCCAGGTGGTCGAAATTTCCGGAGCCTTCCACTACGGCGTCTCTCGTAATCATATGGTGGTTTTGGGACGTTAAACCTCACATATCAATTAAGCCTTTTCGAAAAACTGGTATTTTATACAGGTGAAAAGCCGGGAGAAATTTCAAAAGCATTCATTATGTTCAGTTTATGATCCACTTGAAACATCACTTGCAACCATTTCGTGGCAATAGTGATTGTAATAGCACTCTAGGTGGTTTTTACCTCGGTGTCCCCTTTGCAGTCACCATCATGTTCCGTATAAAATCTAAATTGACAGCGTTCCCCAGCGTATTGTGGGTTTGCACTGTGTGTAAACGCACGCGATAGGGGATGACGAAAGTGACTGAAGCAGGGATAATACATGCATACCCATATTTTGTTTTTTGTGCATGTGGAGAGCCCATGCGACAACTTTATCCCGCGTGTGAAGACTGACGTCGACTTCTAGTTAAGCAGAGCGGAGACACAACGTCTGTTGGGGAGGAGCAAGTAGAACGCGAGGGGTGCAACGGGGAAATGTGGTACTCTAGCAGCAACTGTTAACTTTGATCATAAAGGCACGGTCACGATCGCTGGCACGCATCACCTCAGCACGCATCAGCACACAGCTTATATACCCTTCTAAGTGCTGCGCTACATGACGAAGAGACTGGGCAGAAACCGCCGCTCTCCCTGGAGTGACAGCATACTCACACGCCAGTATTTGGCGAGTTACGCAAGATTGGATCCGTAAGAGTTAGCTGTTAACCTTACTTCGCGTAACTTTAAATTCGTTGCTATCGCATTCCTCGTTTTACCCTTGCCGTAAAACCGGTGAGACTCATTTCCTTATACATCGCTTAGGAGATGCGTGTGCTTTTATAGGATCGGCCGCACCCTTTCGTACTAAATAAAGCTAGAAGTCAGTCCTATTTAAGATTGCTACAGTTCAGTCTGCCGCAATAAAGCAATGATCACTGATTTTGTTTGGAGTTCTCTGTATCATTTTCCTAACTCATGGTCTATTTCTTTCATTTCTTTGACATGGAGCTAAATATTTCGGGTATCGGCTGATTTGTATCTCAGATGATCAGCTTTCACTTCGTGTTTTCTACGATGATATTTCTCAGGTCAAAAATGAGCTCTGTTTTTTTTTCCGAATATTATAAAAAAAAAACAAGCCAAGACCAGCTATGACGTACATGGCTCATATATTGTCACGTAAAAGTTGACGGGTCTGGTTTGCCTATCGTGCTATTGCGAAGGCTGCATGCAATACACTCGGTCCTCAACAGCTGGTATGGAGCACTCGAGTTTTATCCAAGTTTACATTTGCTAAATTTGAGTACAACTTGAATGACTTCGACTCAAGAAGACGAGAGCAGTGCGGTCGATCGGGCTTCTCGTTTATGTAAGACATAGTTGTATAAAGTGAATTAATAAATATGCCAAACGAAGGCATCGGGTGCAATAATTGTAGATTATAATTGAAGTGTAGCAATACATACGACAATGGGGCTTGACAGCCGGTGTATAAGCAAATTGAAAGCGGCTAGATAAAGTCAACCAACCTTCTCTTTATCTTCTGTTATGCCCTGTAAACTATACCGCTGAGTAAGTGCTTTAGCAAGGCTAGGACGATGCAGATATTCGAAAACGGACCACGCTGCGATGATATATGCACGACAATCGTAAAAATAACTTAAAAACATGAATGCCCCGGTTTCGACATTAACTATACACGATACAAGTGGATATATACTTATCTGGCACTAGCGAAAACGGGCTTATACGCAGGTATAATGGCTGACCCTTTTCTATCACTGCTTTTACAATGTTTCACTTGTCTTTGTTTTGAATACAGGTCTACACTTTATTCTTGCTATAAAACAGTCTTTATCGTTCTTGCGTCTCCATAAATTCTAGTAGGTAGTAATATAGCTGAGAATAATTTATATTACCTTGATAGGAGCCTATTTCTATAAGTAATGCTATTGAAAGTAGATTTTTGACATTTCGGGAGCTGAGGTATCTAAGCAGCGCTATGCGTCCGCTGATTTGATATTTGTGACATTAAGCAAGATGTTGCGAACAGTTATCAGTGGATACTGCGCGTAAATACACCTGAAACGTGCCTTGAAATAGTGGGGAGGCAAGGGAGCAGCCGGAAACAAGCCAGGCGTTTCTCTGATCAGTGGAGGCATCCTTTGCAGCAGGACAACGTCGATGAAGTCATTCGCTTGATTGACGCTGCTTGAGCCTCCTGCGATAGGTATATGGCATGTAACAATCCCGTTAATTGAGTTTAGGCATTGTTAATTGTTTAAAATGTTAGTGGCAAGAACAGCATGTGCAATAACGTTGTTATCGTCATCGTCGCGGGCTGTAACTGATACTGCCATGGTTTTTTTTTTCGCATTTATTGAAGAATAAATGGAGAGTGCATATGCTGAAATTATAACATGTAAACAATAACGCATAAAAGTTGAAAAGACTTCTCTACTCTGAACTCAGCACAAATGATTATTGCAGGGTGAGATGTACCTTATATATCCGTTGATGGGTCTCTTTCACTTGCATATCTTAAGTCTTACAAGAAGTTAAGTGCAATCTTTAGACGCGTAATTCAGGAGGCAATTAAGCGTTGCTGGAAACAGTAAAATAACGGTCCGAGTAGACATCCTGCCATTAAATACTAATTCATGATGTCGCTGTGGTATAAGTTTAATTTTCTTATACTGAACCACACTCTCGGGCAGAATCAGGAAAATTTAGGGCTAATAATGCACGAGCTGGAATTTCTAGCATCTACAGCTCGTGCAAGCTTACCGTTATTTTGACTCGAACACTTACATCGGAGCCGATACAATCTTTAGTGGCTACATTTGCAGCGCCATTACGTGGTTATACCTATAAATGTTTCATAGCAGTTATTATATTAAAGGTGCACCGAAATCCTCTGCACTGAAACTACCGGAGCGGTCACTGTCGGTGCTTGTTAGTGTGTTGATGCATACTTCACTTCACTACTCCCAGATGGCGACACGAGCTTCATCGACCATGTTGAGAAGAAGAAGCTTCAAGAGATTCAAGGTGCCATTGTGAAGCATCGTGCATGCGTTGGCAGCATAGGTGGTACAGCACCAAGTATATATTGTAGTGGACCAAGAGGACATAGGCTCTCTCTTCCCTCCTCTTAAGTTTTGCTATATATAACGAAACATTTCGGCTGTTTTTCGTCACATTATTCATGCTCTTTTATACGATGCCGCTCTCTTGACGGAGACGCCGTAAGTGAAGTCTTGGTGCACGGGCGGCGGCATAGAATGCATCCGTATTAAAGATTGTTGCTGTTCTTTTTTTAATTTTGGAGTGATGCACATACTTCAGTTACGAAGCCATCTGGTTAAATGGAGGTGCTGTTTAAACTGCGACGTTCAACGGTTTGGTCCAAAACGCACCTTTTTTTAGTCAGTATAAATGCTCCGTGTGAGGCCGGCATACCGTTCGCGAATAATTCTACACACTTCACTGGGGCCGAGACTCGTTCCCTGTTGTCGTGGACGTAGGAAGCACGAGAATACAATAATTTACTGGCACCTATACGTCTATAGCTCGTGAAAAGAAAGTGGCATGGGAATTCTATTAGGTGAGTACATAACCAAAAAAAAATGCGCAAGTTCATTGACCCTGTTAGCAAGTTCTGCGCAGTCATGTGAATACGAAAGTGATCACGGCAGTGTTTTCAAAAATACAAGCTTAAACATCTAGATATATTCTTATGATCAAGTTACCTTTAGGCTGTGATGTGTCTCTTTCCAGAAGACGTACCAGATCGTGGACCGCTTCTTGATATTTGTTGTCAGCCGTTGCGTGACCTGTACGTGTTCACGGAGTTCCTTTCAGTTCCTTATCAACATGTCTAACTTATGGCGAATTCCATTGAGAGAACAGGAACAGAGGCGCAGGGCAGTGAGGAGTGGGAGGCAGAGCACAGATTGCAGGTCCACGCGTACAGCCACTGGAATGCGGCACGCTCCCGGAGAGCAGGTGACAGGGTGACGAGTGGGGATACCATGGGATCGAAACATTCCAAACCCCGACATACTTCTGCGGGGCAGCCGCCAAATACGCGTGAAATTGATCAGTCACCTATTCATCATTATCCCAATACATAATATGTTTGTGCAGCGAGGAATTCGGCAGACGTCCAGCTGCCACCCGGACAAAACAGTGGAACAGTGGTTTCAAACATGGAGGAAGAAAAAACTATGATTTCAAACTACACATGGTTGCCACCATTACCGCCGCACACGACGGCTGAAGAAAAATGCGGAGACAGTGATGTTCAAAGGTATACGTAACTCGTCGTACTGCGCTGTATTTCGCCTACTCCACTCTTCAGGCGAGAGCACTGCAAACTGCTCCTGGCTGCTGTCAGCGCAGTGAAAGCACTCTCACTCTACAAATGAATGACAGTGCTCCTTCACCTGTTCGACCCCTGAAACACGCCGGCTCTGAAGGGAGCACTTTCAGCGTGCCTTTGAGTGCTCCTGCTCTCCCAGTGGAATCCGCCATTAGAGTTAGTTTGAAATGCACTGATTTATCAAATCACAGGTGTTAGTGTTCGCCGGTAGAGGAAAAAAAATAACAACTTGTGCACTAATATAGTATTAGTGTAAACTATGCTGATTTTTAATTCAAGGCTTTCAAGTACATAACATAAAAATACATGCATGCTAGTTTTAAGAATATCCATTCGGTTATTCATTTTGAATTGAAATGTGCAGCGCTTTATTCACGTTGATTCATAGAGGTCTGCTAGTGAGCTGCTTCAGGTACTCAATCTATTGTGTTCCCATCAGTTTTTTTTAATGCGGCATATCTCACATAAGTTAGCATTCCATGTTACGCGAAGTGTGCGGATTAAAGGCAACTGTGTTGTAATATTTTAAGGGCGACGCTTCTTGAGGCGTAAGCAAGTCTGGAGTTCTCGTAGCCACCTCTGGGTGTCCAAGCGTTAACTAGATGGTGCTGTCGCGCCACGCATGTAAGCCTATAGTGGGAAGAATGATTAAAGATCGTGCTCGCGCGGCATAGGTGATCAATGGAATACTAGATGGTGCTGCGGCGATCGCTGCGTCATCTAGTGCTGTAGGAGACCGCGCTCGCTCTTGCGATAACGTGAGTTTCTCTTGGCACGCTTGCTCTTTCGCCGGCAGTCAGCGTGCTTCGAGTATAAGCGACGAAGACAAGGCGGCGGATCGGAGGGCTCGGAAAACGGCTTCAGCCCCTGATCGCCGTCCTTTAAAGATGATCAAATTGGCGAAATTCTCGGAAGATTCATGGCTACTGATGAAACCTCCGGCACTTCGCCCACTCATCATCATTCATGCCGAGGATATGCGGTAATTTTGTTTATCGAGTGAAATGTTAAAGTGGTGCTAAAGATATGTACAAATTCACGCACAGACAAAAGTTGAATAGCCGCTTATGTTTTATATAATGAGTTATTTGCAGTTGCGTAACGTTGCCAACTGCGACATGGTTATTAGTAACACCAGAAGTGGTACGCTGATATGAAGCGCTGGTGCTCGCGAGAACGCTAGCACATACTCGCGGGTGGGTGCCACACGTCTGGGGCAAAGTATTTGACTACGTACGTGATGGGATTTTGACATTATTTATGTCATGACCAGCGAGTCATATTTGTCAAACCATCTTACCCTCCTTTACTAATTTTGGTCTGGCCCAGATAATGGGTGTGATCATGACAGCACCAAAATGTAGGTGGTTGCATAGATAGATAGATAGATAGATAGATAGATAGATAGATAGATAGATAGATAGATAGATAGATAGATAGATAGATAGATAGATAGATAGATAGATAGATAGAAGGTAGTAGATAGATAGATAGATAGATAGATAGATAGATAGATAGATAGATAGATAGATAGATAGATAGATAGATAGATAGATAGATAGATAGATAGATAGATAGATAGATAGATAGATAGATAGATAGATAGATAGATAGATAGATAGATAGATAGATAGATAGATAGATAGATAGATAGATACTCAATGGGCTTGCAGCACGGAAAACAGTTCTTCGCATTTCAAAGAATAGGTAGACGGCCAGTTTCTGTAACTCAAGTAAATAAAAATTCATAAGATTTATGCGAAACGAGAAAGACACAAGACCTGTTCAAGAATTGTTTTCCAATATCCATGTTTAGTATTATTGGAGTGTTTTACGGAGATCTACAGAGTAGCCTCCGTGGATTGTTAGGCAAACTCTGGTTCGCTTGTGCGTTAGATCGAATACTTTGGATAGCCACAAATCAACGTTGTGGTACCTACTGACCTTTAGTTTTATTGTGGAGTACCATGACATGTAGGACCAAAAGTTGCCAAACATTGAACTCAATACTATTTTTTACGTATGAGCTTGCCCTCATCGCCATGAATAAATTTTTACCAGCATATACTCCTTCACACTTAAAGCGCACTTTATCAACATTAAGAAGAAAACACGTGAAAAGAAAGCGCCCGGTAAATATGAAAACGTGCCACAATATGTTTGTGTAGGTTTAACATTGAATCATTCATTCTTTTCACAGTAACCAGTCTTTGAAACCTGCTTTTATATTACTACTGCGTACACTGAGCCCACATCTACACGTCACACATAATTTTATTGTAACCATAGCTTTTTATTGCTGGATGCCATCAAAGTAACTAAAGAGTTTTAGTTTCTGTATGATCAGCTGTTTGTACACAGGATTTTATTAGTGCTGTCCGTGTGCTACGCATTTCAGCTGTAATCTATCATAACCTGTCACAATTAACACGTCAGGTTGTATCGGGCAAAATGCAATGCATTTAAATAATATTTTTCACCATGATATATTGAAACTTGGAACTCATTAACGCATTAACGGATCAGCTTCATTCTCTAGAGGAGATTATTGCAAAAGCTGAACCATATTTCGCTTGCGCATAAGCACATCATAAGCAATATGATTCATGTTTGGCATACTGAACAAAATAGCTCGTGTAAATGAGTGGTACATTTGGATTTGCGATGTGACTGAATCAATTTGTTAGAACTTTATTTAGGCCATGTGACTAATGTTGCAATTGTCGTAAGCATTATTTTTTCATCTGTTGTAAGCTAGGAAAGATTCTTATGTTGATTGGCAGAATGGCTGTTTTGCAATTTTCGTAGTTTTTTTTACCTTTGTTACTAATTTTGTTTTGATCAATTTTAATACTCCACTGCTCATGTGTATTTTTAATGTCCGCTTCCCACACGCACCTAATAGCCTCATAGAACTCGTAAATGGAACAAATAAGTTCATTAGCCCCACAAACAGCGAGTTTCCGTAGCATTTATTGCTCTCGCCAGAAAATAAATACTATTGGAAATAAAATGCAAAGGACCACATTTCTCATGACCGCAGGCTAGTTTTCTTTTTATTTACACGTCTGAGCTAATACTGGTGATAAGAGAGGTGTTGTTTAAACAGTTTTTCACAACTGTAATCTCTTGCGTAATGTGCAAAGAAGTCATGATTCTACGGGTGCGTAAATCATGCAACTGAATAAGAATGCTCAATTGACGCGAATTGCAAAATGTAAAACTCACCGGCGTACGCAACGACACATAGTAGCGTGAGAAGGCGCTTCATGATTTTGCTCCTTTTAGTGCACGTACTGAAAAAACAACAACAAGAAAGCGAGGAATAAGAATGAACACGCACTAGCATAATGTGTACATGCAAAACGTCAAAACGTGTGTGTAACGTGTACGTGATTTCTGGTTTTTCCAATCAGATGGTTCCAAAGGTCACAAAATCACGAACACAAAAGCCTTTCCTGACGGAGAGCTATGAGCTGATACTAGGATTCGTGTTTATGTGCAGTGCCACTTGGGGTCGTTTTGAATGATTGCACACATTTAGCAGATACTTATAGTTAAAATAGGTCCTGTCTAAACACGTATTTGTCCCCTGCCTTTTTTTTTTTCAACCGTATACCACTCTAACAGTAGCTACAACTAAAATGACTGTCTTACAATTTAGCGATTTGGCGCTCATCTCAAAGAGGGCTAAAACTCCGGTAACCTTGACCAATGCCTTTTTTTTTTTGCTTACGCAACGAGCAGAAATGCGTTTCGTAGATTTCGGCATATATATCTCTTCGAAGAAAACATGTCTGTACATTATCACTAGAAAAAGTATCCTTACGCAATATTCTGCTATCGCAGTTTCTGCGTTCTGATGTGTTGTTTGTTTCTGGCAAGCTGACAAATTCTTGCTTTTTTTTTTGGAATGAAGGAAGTCGCTCATAAGTGGGCAGAACTTCGATTTTTTCAACAAGACTAGCTAGTAATAAAGAAATTTGAAGCAACGGGGTGCTTTTTGTTATGCACCCACCGGCCGAGGTTCTGGCACAGCGAACACAACAAAACGTTCACCTAGTGTGTGATGTAATTACTTCAATGGCGATTCCAAGGCTTGAAGTGTTGTGGTCAAGTGTCACCATCTGTCAATGCGTTGAATAATCTTATATACAAATGCACTCGCTGCCGCAAGCTGTGGCAATCCGCAGCTCATCCTTGGCAGACAGCTCTGGACTGTCTATTAAGCCCGCGAGACGGCTGAGGAGCTCGGCATCTCAGTCCCCACGTGGGAGCGGCCCGGGACGCAGTGATCTGTGTTTTGGAGGACCCAATAATTTATCCAATCCAATGCACAAGCTTTAAAGAGGTTCAATACCCTTGGACACCCTTGGCGAGGATAAGGTGGCAGAATGACTTGCTTACTTCGTATCCATTGGGATCAATCAGACGCTACCCGACGAACCCGACATTCCTTCCACCATTGAGTTTCTGTTCTTCATTGCGAAAAATTTTCGGCGTTATGGGTAATAAACGAAAGTGCCGGGGCGGAGCGTAGCTGTCAATAATAGTGGATTCCTTGTGAACGACTCTGATAAAAGAAGTTGCTTGCTTCAGGAGTCACTTGATTTTTTCACTGCAAATTAGCATATTTACATAATTAGGAATGCAGGGTAAAATTTGCTTAGTCAGTGTGACATGGGCTAATAAGGTGTCCACTTAAGTTATAGCTGTAGCATCTGCTCCCAACGAATATTTAGCCCTATACTTTCAGTAGTATGTTGACAAGAGCCACTCGTTTTTATGAGACAAGAAGAATACATCATTACAGCGTCGACTTGAATTATAGGCGTAAACGATGGCTAAAGCTAGGGTGTTTCGAACTAGCCCACTTCCACTTTTAACCAACTGAGCCGTTGCTTAGGTTCTACATTACTTGGATACTATTGCACCACGTCCAGCAACAGGCCCACCAATCAGCTTTAGGGTCCTGCTTACAGAAGCTTGCTGTTTTGCCGTGCTCTTTTCTCGCCTGTCTTGTTCCAAATGTTTGTACATTATTCACGTTTTGCTGTCGCTGTTAACATTCTGGAGTGGAGTTGCTGCGGAACGTATTTTGCGAACGCAGTTAACACAGCTGCATAAGAACACCATGGTTATGATACATCATCATCATCATCATCATGATGGTCATCATCATCATCATCATTCTCAGCATGTTTATGCCCACTGCTGAGCTAAGGCCTCTCCCAACCATGTCTAGTTTACCCTATTTTGTGCCAATTCCATTTTTCCCTGCGAACTTCTAAATTTCGTCGTTCCAATATAAGCTCCCGGCCTTCTTCGACAGCATTCCTCCATCTTCGTAATCATGCTGTTCTTTTCTGTCCGTGTTTCTTTTTCTGTCCTAAGCTCCACGCACATATCTTTTTACGCGACGTTCGCAACGTGTAAACGTTAAGTTACAGCACCAGCTTTTTATATAAGCTTGTAAACATCAAGTTACAGCCCTGGCTCATTATCTAAATTTGTCAACCGCGAGCACTAGTTAGGATTGGAGCTACGCATACCTTACTTCAAGCGCAAAAGATAAGGTCTGCCAATCTTATGCCTGATGGCACATTCTTTCCAATCGCTAATTGTTTCAGGACGTGTGAGCGCTATCACGTGAACTGTAGTAGTAAACTCGGTATGAACGTGCGGATGATCCACGAAGCGTAGAAGCAAGCAGACTTACGTATAAATCAACCAAGGCCTTCCTGCCGACTCTTGCTGTCTGCAACTGATACAGCACTGACGGAACGAGAGCCAGACGTACGATTCCGTGACGTCGCCCCCCTACTTTTTCATCCTTTCTCTCTTCGCCATCCCAGCTTTTATCTCGATCGCGTTCTCCCGCCTCAAGCGTCGGGTTTCCTCCCGGAGTCCGGCGCGAAGTAGGCAAAGGCTACACCGCCATCATTTAGGCGTCATGGGTTTTTACAGTGGATGCTGCCTTGTTTACCCTATGTCGTCGTCATCGTACTACTACTACTACTACTACTACTACTACTACTACTACTACTACTACTACTACTACTACTATTACTACTACTACCACTACTACTACTAGGGGTAGTGATCGCACAGGTCACATGACCATAAGAGGGAGCGATTACAAAATTATAAAACGAAAGAATGAAGATCATGCTCGAAGCCCCACCGCTGTTGTCTAGCTGGCTAAGGTGCTCCGCTGCTGACCGGTAGGTCCGTAGACCTAATCCCGGCTGCGGCGGCTGCATTCCGGTGGAGGCGGAAATGTTGTAGGTCCGTGTGCTCGGATTTGAGGTGCCCGTTGAAGAACCCCAGGTGGTCAAAATTGCCGGAGCCCTCCACTACGGCGTCTCTCATAATCATATGGTGGTTTTGGGACGTTAAACCCCACATATCAAGATCAAGCTCGAAGTGGTACTGATAGGTAGCGTGTCGTACAAAATACCGCAACAGTATGGCCCTTTAATTAATTAAACTATGTTGAATATAAAAGTAGTTGTATAAAACAAGGCAAGACAAGGTTATTAGTGCTTTCGTTAATTACAATGTTGAGGCTTACATCAATTACACTAAGACAAGGCATCTGAGCGCGTCATGTAGATAACAGGGAGCGCACACATGATAGTATTCAGGCTGAGCCGGGCGGCCAATCCCTCGGAACTGAAGCGCCATTGCCCGACCCAGCTAATCGCGTGCTGCAATGAGGCTTTTGTTTAAACGCTACAGCCTGTACCCTCAATTAAGGAGATCTCACTTTGGTATATCATGTGTAAGTGCTCGTATTTCAAATCTAGCGGTGGCTTCATGACACCTCATTATCTCACTAGCAATCAACACTCTGGTTCTAACAGCTTCTGTGTGCGAAGGTGTACAGCGTGGAACTTGCTGAATTCTTTTTCGCACCGACTTGGACTACAGCTACGTAAAATTCAAAAGAAGAGAAAGCTCGCAAAGGTGGACGGGAAAGAGGTAAAACGCTGGCTGTCCCAAGAAGGACAAGTATAAATCAGAACTCAAGTACCAGAAGAGTGATACCTCACACATGTCTGCACCATGCCTAATCTACCACTAACAACCTGTGTATGTGCAAACATGTTTTTGCTGCAGAGTTTCTTTGCCACTAAGATGTGCCCTTTGAATATACAAGTCTGTACTTGTGTTGTCTCGTTCTCGTTTCTTGTTTTCATATTGTACTCATTCTCTCATTCTGCAATCAATGCCGACAAATCAGCGAGACACTCTGTCATTCTAGGTGCACCGTCTACTTTCAATCCTTCACTTCCCTGCAGAAGATACTGAGGTGCTATCTGAAATTATTACTAGGCGCTAAGCTTCTTAGGCTCTCACGATGTCCGCTGACGTTTTCCTTGTAGCTTCCCGCCAAACCGACGCACTGGTGTTACATACACCGTTCATATAGAGCGTTGATAGCCCGCATATGATTTAAATTGAACCGTATACCCTCTCTTCATGCATGTGTTTGTCCATCTGTCCATGCGCCTGACCATGCATCTGTCCGCCCGTGCATGCATCCGTGCATCCATGAATACGTCCATCTCTCAATGCATCCGTCCGCGCGTTCGTCTGTGAGTGCGTTCGTCCGTCCGCACGTTTGTCTCTTCGTATATTACAAAGCGCGTTTAGCGAATGCCTGTGCCCATTCATACGGGGTTGGTGGTGGCACCGAAAAAGTATTTATTTGAAGACAGAAAGTAAAAAAAAAAATTCTCCCACCTCCCCGAAGGAAATTGTGAGGGAAGGCGAATGCATTTCTTGCACCGTTAGAGGGTACCGTTGCCGTCTGACATTCGGCTTCACCGACTTCTGCCATCACCTTGAGAGGCGCCCTGCCATCGAATGGTCGAGAGTGAAGAGCGAGCGGACCGGTGAGTGTGGCGCCAGCGTACTCGGCTCGGCATTGGCGTTTCACAGTAGCGTCTCGAAGACACATTTCCTGACATTTCTTAACGTTCTTAAGAGTCACCCAGCTAGGTAACGGTCTAGAGTGAGGCCCGTGTGGACGAGAGAGTGGGGCGAAAAGAGGAGAGAGAGAGAGAGCGGTGGGACAAGGGGCGGCGAAGCACTGCACCGGCTCTCTTCTACACTCACTCACACAACATTCTCCGGTTGCTAGGGGTGATGGTGAGCGCGCGCTCCCGCAGCTGTTGATATGGGTGAGGAAGTGAGAGTGAATGGATAAAGCCTGCCGGCGTGCGGACACCACCGCGGAAAACGCCAGATGCCTGATGACATAGCCCGGCTAAGAAATCCATTTACATCAAAGAAGTCACAGTTTCTCCGCAAGGGCGAGAAAAAATGAGTGCGCTAGCAACAACTTAAAATGTCCGCTGAGAACGGCAAGCAGATCGAAACGTGCGCCACGCTGCTCATCCACAAATCATGCACAAAAACTGCACACACAGGATGAGAGCGAACTAACAACGTTTAGCGCTCGACACGTAATGCGCTGTATAAAAAAAAACGACGCATGAAAGGTTACCACCGGCAAAGATGAGTGCAAACTAACAACTGTTCTAGTTGTTATACTTCGCTGTGTATGAAAAGCGTGCTCTCTTCGCAAACAGGGCCTGTGCAGAGACCGAAGTGACCTTTGTGAGCCCTGCAACTAACGCAATCGTTCCAGTGAAAGCCGAAGGCACATGATTCTCCCCACCAAAAGATAAGCGCACACGCACAAACATCTAACTCCCCCCCCCCACCCATCCGCGTTTATTTCTCATGCGTACTTTGCCACCCGAGTGCCAGTGGCTTTTTTTTTTCTTTCTTGAGTGTTCACATATATAGGTACATGCTCATATATGGTGAATGAGGGCGGAGGTGGCGATGGCAAAAGCCAGCCGAGACTGTCCACATCAATGTTATCGCAATAAAAACAGCATTTTGGGCTACGTTCAGGCTTCCGGTTTTGACGTCCAGGCTGTGCCTAGTCGCGACGTCCTGTGCCCAAGTCACCAGCCAGCGTTGAGGATCCGGCCGCATGCTGCACAAAGCACCCTCTTACTGCTGCGGACTTCTGAGCCGCTAAGACGAAATGGAACAAGACCAGCTCGTCTTTTTTGCATGATCTGACACGCTGGGCACAGCGACGGTACGCAAGCAAAGCGCCAGCGCTGTAGTCCGACGCGAGGCGCGACTGACGGGATCGCCGCGCCCCGATGGCAACCTGAATTGACGTAATTATTTAACAAGCATTATATAATCGCCTAAGGGGTTTCGCTCCATTATCAGCATTGCCTTTGGAGATCCGCTGCCCATTCCTTATTTGTGGTTAGGATAATCATACCAGAGGCCATTTGTGCACGCTGGGTTTAGAATACATTGTAAACGCTTTAGGGCCCTATAGTACTTAAGGAGCACTTTACTTAGGGATAGCCATTAGCTGTCCCGGTTTGGCTGAATAAAGATATCAATATTATGAAGTCTTGGTTTGGAAGACCTTTATTAGGCCCGAGGAACCGGCAGCCGACAGCTGAGATGAACGAACCAAGATGATGATGCTACATGACAACGATGAGGATGCACGAGCAACACATGATAATGATGATAATGAACAGATGAAGAGCATTGGTATACTATATGCCCACACTAGTTCCCCCCACGTGAAAGCGGCCAGCCTGGCCGCGGCAAGTCAAGGGGACAAAGAACGTCGCATGAAGGGCTTCATACGGGAGACATGGACGACCTCAGTAGTTCGATAATGGCGATCTGCTGGGGCTACAAGTAGCGTCACGCGATAATTCACTGGTGAAGTTTCTTCAAGAACTGTGTACGGCCCGATAAACCATGGCTGGAATTTGTCGCACAAACCAGGTGTGCGAATAGGCGTCAAAAGGAGCACTTCGTCTCCAGGTTGAAAGGATACAGCACGATGCGATTCATCATAAACCAGCTTTCTGTCTTGCTGTCGGGCTTCAGTGTTTATACGAGCACGTTGGCGGCTCTCTGCAAGCCGTAAAACGTATTCCTCTCAAGAGGATGGAGATGAATCCGCGTGGCAGGTAAAGAAAGAGACGCCCAGGAAAGAAGTAGGGGAGCGTCCATGAACTAGGTAAAATGGTGAGTAGCCGGTTGTCCGCTGAGTAGCCGTATTGTAGGCGAAAGTGACGAATGGGAGAACTACATCCCAGTTCTTGTGGTCTGGTTGAATGTAGGTGGCGATCATGTCAGCTTAGTGAGTCCGTTAGCTTGGGGATGATAACTAGAGGCAGTCTTGTGAGTTGTGCCAGAGGCGCGAAGAAGTTCGTTCACTAGTTCTGAAAGGAAGGCCCTTCCACGGTCACTGAGCAATACACGTGGGGCACCATGACGTAGTATATTGGCTCGGAGGATGAAATCGGCAATTTCAGAAGCTGAACCGGTAGTGACAGATGCCGTCTCGGCGTAGTGTGTCAAATGGTCAATGGCTGTTACCATCCATCGGTTTTCAGCAGCACTGACCTGAAGGGGGCCATAAAGATCGATGCCTACAACTTCGAATGGTGTGGCTGGGCACGGAAGAGGCTGTAGTGTACCGGCTGGAGCAGATGTAGGTAGTTTTCTACATTGGCAGGTAGTGCAGGACCCAACATACCGAGCTACACTAGTGTTAATCATCATCATCATCATCATCATGATCAGCCTGACTACGTCCACTGCAGGACAAATGCCTCTCCCATGTTCCGCTAGTTAACCCGGTCCTGTGCTCGCTGCTGCCAATTTATACCCGCAAACTTCTTAATCTCGTCTGCCCACCTAACCTTCTGTCTCCCCCTAAGCCGCTTCCCTTCTCTGGGAATC